CCGATCTCCCCAAAACCCCAAAACCCCAAAACCCCTCAATACTTTATAAATAAAATCTATAGATTTAAGCATAAAGAATTTAAATCTTTTTATTTAGTAATAATAGAACATTTTTATTAGATGAGCTCTACTAATCTGTAAGTTAAGGATGCAATTTAGAAAAGATAAGAATTCTTGATATCATTTCAAGAATCATTCGATTCCTATGATGAATTATTTTCTTTGGTCAAGGATGAAGGACTTTACATAAATGCTGAGCCCTTGAGACATCCTCTTATATTTTACTTTGCTCACACTGCAGTTTTCTATATCAACAAACTATTTGAGACTAATATATTAAGTGCTCCAGAATAGAGAATTAATAAATACTTTGAGGAAATATTTGCTCTCGGAGTAGATGAATTTGACCAGTAAGTTAATATTTCAAAAAAAATTACTATAAAATTAGTGATGAGAAATTAGACTGCAAGAAAGATTGGCCAAAAGCAAGTGAGGTTAGGTAATATAGATAGAAAGTGAGAATGTTTATGACAAGCATTATTGAAAAATTAGAACTTGAGGATAATACTGTAATAGATTAGAATTATAAATTCTGGATCATAAGTATGGGCATTGAGCATGAAAAAATTCACCTAGATACTTCAAGTGTCATAATGAGAATGCTACCCACTGATTTCATAAGCATTAACCAGAATAATAATTCTTCCAGATTCCTTAATATCTTTAAAATAGTTGATGAGGGAAGTGACGGACTAAACTAAAATATAATTGATTTTATCAAGGTTTAAGAGCAGAATATAGTAGTTGGAAGGCCTAAATCAGAAAAGGAAGCAATTGATTCAGAACACACAGAAAATCTTGAATACATATATGGATGGGATAATGAGTTTGGGCATGAAAGAACAACTGTGGATGAATTTCGAATCTCTACTAAATTAATCACTAATGCATAATATTTGAGATTCGTTGATGATGGAGGATATTTGAACTCTGAATATTGGTCTGAAGAGGGATGGCAATGGGTCTAGTCATATTAAGCTAGCATGCCAAAGTTTTGGATTAAAACTTTAAAAGGATACAAACTTAGATTAACTTTCCATGAGCTAAACTTTATGCCTTGGAATTTTCCAGTAGAAGTAAACTGTCTTGAAGCAAATGCTTACTGCAGGTGGCTTAGCAGAAAATAGAATATTTTGGTCAGAATACCAACAGAAAATGAGTATCTTGTTCTTTACAAAAGATACTAAAATGAGCTCAAATCATCATAGATAAATAACATGCTGATGCATGCTTCTCCAAGTCCTGTTGATAAATATAAGCAAGGGGATGTTTATGATTTGATGGGAAATGTGTGGCAGTGGACGCTGACTTCATTTTACCCATTTTAAAACTTTACCAAGCACTCTGCTTATGAAAATTTTTCTACTTTTTCCTTTGATGATAAGCACAATATCATTAAAGGGGGCAACTGGATATCCTACGGAAACATGGCAACTTAGTAGACAAGATAGTGGTTTAGAAGGCACATCCATTAGCATTCAGGATTCAGAGTTGTCCTTCAGGATAAAAATATTAAGAATAATCAAGATTTTTTACAGCAAATCGCTGAAAATCAAAATGATTGTATTCCTATGAATGCAAAGAGATTATAATCGAAAATTGATAGTATGTAGGATTGAATATCTAATGATAAATCTTCATTCAAGTATTTTGACAATGATTGATTAGAACTTTTGATGATTTAAGTATTTATTTTGGAGAATTATAGTCTTTTTTAGCTAGTATATTATATTAAGGTAGTAAAAGAATTCTAACATTTTAGTAATTCATTAAAAAAATATTGAAAGAACAATCAAGAGGGGGTTTTGGGGTTTTGGGGTTTTGGGG